TACTGTAATTTATTGCATAAACTACAGGGAGTCTAATGTATAGAGAAAGTGATTTAAAGTTATTGATCATTTATTCTTTTCACATGCTGCAAGTAAATAACTCTATTACTATTAGTTGTTTCAGAAAATCTTTCACTTCCATACCCAACCTGTAAATATATACTGTATAACAATCGATACTATAAACTGCATTCTTAGAACTCACACTGTCCTATCATAGCTGCCAGATGCTATTTAGTAAGATCGCCATACTCTTAATATAATCTGTATACCCTTTAAAATGCTTGATTTCTAATTTAGGATCTTAAGAGGCCACACTTATGCATCTTATCTGAGATCTCAATGCTACTTGGGTATTGTCTGGTGAGATCACCACATTCCATACTTTGTTGCTATTCTAAAATGACAGTTTCTAATCTGAAGTCTTGGAGGAATATACTCTTACCATACTATTCCACTTCTTAATTCCAGTTGGATGTCATCTCATTTAGCTATTTTAAAATATGTGGTTCCTAATTCCAAGTCTTGAGAATTCATATCCACATCATCATATTTATACTACTGATGCCAATTGGGTGATGTTTGATAAAACTGCCATGTTCCATATTTTGTCATTATTTTATATGCAGTTTATAAAGCTAATAATTGATAATTCACTTTTCTTAAAACAAATAATATGCAAATAACAGAGTTAATAATCGAATATACAAATAACGAAGTTAACAATTGAATATACAAATAACAAAAAATGCATGTAAGAATTAAAGCCGAAAATCAATAATATCATTAATCCACTTTTCTTAAAAATTTGCTTACTTTTTTTTATAAACTTATCATCTACAAAGCCAACAATCAATTTACAAATAACGAAAATATGCACTTTACAACGATAATATAGTTAATCTTTTTGCTTGCAAATATACAAATAAGAAAAATTTCCTGTAAAAACTTACTACTTAGACTCAGGTCTCTTATATGATATCTCAAATCAAATAAATTTTAGACCCGGATCTATTATTGGGGGTCTTCTATAATTGGGGTAGTTTATGTGATAAATTATGATAAGTCCGAATGGTTTGTACCTCTGAATTATAACCCAATAAGTAACCTTTAAGGACAAGATTATTCTTAGTCTTATTTTTAATTTAAACTTAAATGTATACATAATAAAGTGCTTACCTTTTTGAACCATTGTAACATATTCTAAAAAAAACTCTTTCTGCTGATTCTTTTGCCAACCCAAAAAACAGACGTTCTCAAAAATTTTTGTTTTTATAATAATAAAGTCTATATACTTTCCTTAATAACACTGGTTCCCTAACCAACAGAGTGAGCAGAAGCTACCCCTTGTTTTATTTTTTCTTTTCAAAACACTTTTCTTGTTTATTTTGATGATTAAATACAAGAAACCTACCTAAAAGATCTATGGCAAAAACATCACTCTAGAAAGAAAACTAATAAGAAAAAACACCCTCCAAAAACTCCCAAAAGATTCAAAAATCCAGAGAAACAAGAACAAAGAAGTCTCCAGTCTTTTCATCATCTCTTTGGCTTCCCTTTTCTTTTTTCTCAAGCGTGTTTTCTTTTTTCTGGTTTTTCTGAGGAATTTTATCTATCTCAATTTGACCCTAAATTTTTTGGTCACACTGGATCTCCTGAAAGATGATTGGTCAAGGTCACGGATTGGTTGATCACATCAGCTACAGAAAAAGTAAACAAAACACATACTCCTCACATGTTTCCAGTTATGCAACACCAAACTGATAATATAATTGGTTCTTGAAAGAGTTGAATGGTTTTTAGTTAAAGTTGTAAAAAGAAGAGAAGTGACTCCTTTTGTTCCCATCCTTTTATTTTCTTTTTTTTTCTCTATTCTTTTTTGAGGACAGAAAGTAGCAACAAGGTCTAGGTCCTATCCCAATCTGGTAACAAGTTGAAGTATCGATATTTATCCTGAAAATGGTTGGAGAAAGGGATCTTGAAACTATCTACTGGTTTAATTAAGCAATAATTCCAGAAGATATGGCTTGGGAGAGAAATCAACAATAGAAAACCAACATTCTTTCTGATTAGGAGTCTTCAAGCATAAAGTCTTAATAAATACTCTTCTGGAAGTGCCCTTAAATGTTCTTGGACATTGACTACTCTAATGGAAATTAAACAGTTTGACTAGCCACAGGTGATGAGAAGTGAGGTATTATAAGGAGCTTGGGTTTTTGAAGTTTATAGCAATAACCTCTTCAATGATAGTTAGAATAGACAATAGCTTTTTTTTTTTTCTTTTGTTCAAAAAATTCCTTTTTTATTCCTTTTCCCCTTGTGTAGTTACTATAAGAGGTGACACAATTTGGGTTTATAGTTATGACTGTAGAGGTGATCTGCAGGTTTTGATCCTATTGGAAATTTGAAATCTTAATTCTATTCACTAGGGAAACAACATTATCATCCCATAAATCGCATCTAGAGGCTTCAGCTAAAGACATGTGAGTTGGGTCAGAGAAATTTATACTTTGCATGAATTCTCAACTTGTAATGGTTCTTTATGATTTAATAAATAAACGACACTAACCTGATTGCAAGATTAAAAAAAAAAAAAACCATTGTAACATATTCTATAAATGTAAGTTTTTTCTAGGAAACTCCAGAAAACAGCAATAAAGAAATTTATGACCAAAATTTACATATGAAATAATTACTTTGTAGATTCTTAGATTTATATAAAAAAATTTACTCTTCTGATCTGTGTAACAAATCATGTAACTGATAATAATAATATAACTTTTTTTAATTAAGTTAATATATACTATAAATGTAATTTATTTTTATTTTTTTATAAATTTTATAATAAATAAATTTATTTTATAATATTATTAATTTAAAAAATAATTTTATAATTAAACAAAATATATTGTTTAAAATTTTCTTTTAATATTAATTAATAGATTTTATAATTAATTTATAATATATATTTTTTATTATATATATAAATTAAATAAAAAAATAATATTTATTTATAAAAAAAAAACAATTAAAAAACAATATAAAAGTTTTTAAAAAAATATATAAAAAAAATTAGATTTATTTAAACTTATAAGTCTATAGCACAGTGGTAATGCTCCATAGGTTACCAGGAGAAGGTTTAGGGTTCAAACCCACCTGGTTACAAAAATTTATCACTTTTATGATTGGTTGACTAGCTTCCAATTCATGTCGTACCCAATCAGCCGACAATCAATTTCTAAATTTAGTTAGGCTGCATAAAGATGGGACCTCTGGTCTTCCTGACGATCGTGAGCTGAAAACAGGTCGAAGCAAGGAAGGTTGTACGAGGAAAGACTTCTGGTTTAACTCTGGTATAAGTCCACAAAAACTCTGACCCAAACTGGCGACAGTAGACTTCGTCACACAAGAATACTCTAGCCTGGGGCTATCCCAATCTGATGTTTGCTTAAAAGAAGATTATATTTGTAATATAATTGGAAGCCACAGGTGGTGACAAAGAGTGATTTACCTTCTCTGAGGTTTTGGTCAAAAAAATATATATGGAGATATTTGGGTGTTTTTTAATCATACCCCTAAAAGGTAATATAGCGCTTCTTTTATGACGAATGTAGTCGAGACAGGATCTAGATTAGATTAGATAGTTTAAAACTAGTGGTAGGATTTCTATTCCCTAAAGATCCCACCCAGGATGCAGATCCACTCCTATGGTGTCAATTGGTATACTGGGTAAGTCTATAGGTGTAGAGTGAGGTTAACTTAAATGGACCTTAGTATATATGTAATTGGATATAAACTACTCAATAAAAATGCATATGCATAAAGCATCTTTCACCCGAAAAAAAAAAAAAAAATTAGATTTATTAATTTTTATTAAATTTATATGTATATATACTGTATTTATTTTTATTTATTTTTTTTATATTGTAAATTATTATTATTATTTGTTTTTAATAAAACTGCAAATAATAGTATTTATTAATCTAATTTTTAAACAATAATAATATAATATACAATATGATATTATACTAAAGCTAAATTAGTTTTACTTTATAAAATATTTGTTAATAAGTTTGAATTTGTACATAATTCTTGAATTCTTTTTTTTTTTATCACGAACAAGCATTAAATGTGAGACTTTATTTAAATAAAAATATTTACTGTTATTACATTAACAATCTTTACATAGTAAATTAATTGTAGCCTATCGCAACAAAACTATTAATTCTTGAATTCTTAATATCAAAACCATTATGTTTTTTATATAATTTAACTATTTACTAATTATTTTACTACAAGAGAATAGGTTCATTAAATTATTATTGCATGATATTAACTATCTTAGACTTTTTAAATCTTAACTCTTTAAATATGATTGTGAGAAATGATAAAAATTGTTTTTTTTCAAGACTAGGCATCTTTTATATTGTAAATTATTTTATATTTGTAAAAATTTAATTTTAATATAAAATTTTTTTAATTTTTATTTATTGATCAAATTAATAATTTCCGGGAAAATTATTATGAGAGAAAAAAAATTGTCAATAAAAAACCAATAATTATTTGATACGAGTTTTCAAAAAATAAATTTATATGAATTATTTTGACATTAATAAGCAATATCGGAAATCTAAGCATATTGGGAAGAAATATTTACGTATAATAGTAATTAAACTTCCTGCCAATGGAAAAACGTGGCGTCAAATTTTGTATATACATTTGATGGCATGCACATTTACACACAAGATCAACAAGATCAACAAGCATGTTTGGGGTCAAAGCCTAAGATCCGAAAACTGATTGGTGTGTAGTCATCTTTGTGTTTGTACACACGTTTTGAAATTACTTTTTGATAAAACTTCAGTTTCAAGTTTGAAATTTATTCTAGAGTATATTCATTGACTCACAGAAACTTTGGAGACACGATTCAAGTCGTTAAGGCAAAAACTTAATACAGTTCGACATACTTGACTTGAAGCTACATCTACCTAGAAACGCGAATGTCTACGAAATCACCGATTTGTAGAATTTGCCTCAGTAGCGAAAGCATTTCAACACTCATCGCGCCCTGCAAATGCAAAGGTATGGAATTTAAATTTTCAGGTGTCTTCTTTTTTTTTAATATTTCCTCTTAAAAGGGTAACTTTTTTCTTAAATTATTATTACGAATAAATTAGGGAGTGTCAAATATGTGCATTCGACTTGCTTAACACTTTGGAGAAACCGACTACTGAAGAGTCGTAGGGGAAAAAACCTCGATCGATGTACATCATGTCAATTTAAGTATGTTATAAGAAAAAAGAAAACAGTTGGAAACTTTTTGAATAGAGGAGGTATGATTATTTATTGTATACCAGATGTTTCATATTTTCTTTACAAGTCACTATTTACTTTTCCTAACTCTTTACTTCTTCGTAAATAAAAAACAGACGTTAAAGTCACCATAACGCTTATCACTGTATTAGCACTTTTGGTTCCTTGCGGATATATTATGAAATTGCTCATCATGATGACTTCATCATTATATTACGTCGATGATACTATAATAAACACAGAAAATCTCATGACACCTGTTGATGAATCAGTACTGAAAACGATCGCGACGCCTGCAACGTGGTCATCATTCAATCTTCCTTTCTGTACTGCACTAAGCCCTACTGATATTGTCCTTCACAATGACATTGTTTATTCTACGATTCCACTTCTTATAATCAAATTATTTCCATCAATAACGGACACTGAATTCTGGTTTAGAATAATGTGTAATCGATTAATACAACATCTACATCTTGGTCTATTCTTCTTGGGATCCATCAGCAATATATATACGGCTTATGTGACCGTCGATGAGTTATTTAGTTTATTTATGGAAGAGAGAAGAAGGGAGACCAGGCAAACAGTGTTGGCACTTGTTTGTGCGATTGTTATGTGCTTCTGGTTTCACTATACGTTGACCGCGTTCAGTGTACCATCTACAACGGTACGGCATTATTTTTATTATCGCAATTTGACTGACGTTTTAAAGAGCTATACACAATTAACATTTTATTAATTACTAAACATAGGAGTTCTTGAAGGATTTACCAGTGTGGTTTTTGCGATGGACCACGATAAGTTTGGCGATATTCGATTTCGGTTTAAGAAGAGTGTTCTTTAGACTGAATAAATTTAGGGAAGATATTGAAATTTTGTCCGTACAAAATATGGATTTTGATGATGAATAGTAAACTGCGTGATTATCAATTGGTAAATATTTCGTTGATGTTGAGAGATCGCTGGATTTTCACACATCGATCATTAATTGCATAATTCTAATAGCTAATCCTACGGAATGATTTTAACTAATGACGTAAATATGATTTTTTGTACTAAAATTAGATGAATATAGTTACACTTGAATTATAGTAAATTATTGTTTTTAATTTTACAATTTGAAATAGTATTTTCGTAGGAATGTAGATCTTTTTGATTTAAGATTGCTATCCATATGGTTACGAAATCATTTCTGTATTATAAAGATAAAATTTAATCTTTTATTTTCACCCCAAACCATTTTTAATTTAATCTTTGTAACAAATGATTTTTAATTAATTTCAAATTAACGTTTGTTAATCCTTTGATGGTATTAAATGTGAATTTATTTAAATAAAGTTTTTTGTTATTATATTAACAATCTTTATATGATAGAAAGTAAATTAATTGTTGCCTATTACAACAAAATTATTGATATAAGTTGACACCAAGTAGATAAACAATATCAATAGTATAGATAGTTAATACTTATTCAGAATAATGTTTTTAAAGTAATTGTTTGACATATATAATAAGTTTAAAATTTTGTGAATATAGATTTGTTAGTTTTGATTAAATTATAAGATATGTTATTGATAGTCTTTTTTTATTTTTTTTCAGTCATATACAATTTTGTTGCTATAGTAAATTGTTTTTTTTATATTTTGATAGGGTTTTTTAAAATGTAATTAAAAATATTTTCTTTTTTTTAAATAAAATCAAAAAGGAAATAAAATTTCAAAAAATAAAATTAATAAGAATATTGTTTATTAATTTTTTTTAAATACTGCCAAAGCTTAATTTATTAGGTTTATTAGATAGTATATATATTTGAGATTTACAAAACAATTTGGAATCCATTCTTTTATATGTATTAAATATATTTAAATCTTATAATAAAATCATTTAATGGATTTTTTAAAAATTATTCTTATATAATTTGTCTTTTAATTATAATTAGATAGTGGTTTTTTGGAAATACAAAAAAAATGAAAATAGAAAACAAGAAATAATATTATTGTTGACAAATAAATATTTTCTAAATATTATATTTATTAGAAATTACTTTTTATAATCATTTGCAATTGAATATTACTATTAATTCCTGTTATTCTATATATTAATTAAAAATATTCAAGAAACTTATACTGTCTTTTAAAATATATTTTATTTTATTTTTTTTTTTTAATCCTGCAATTAGACTAGTATCATTTATTTATTTAATTAAAAAAGGAATTATTACAAGTATAAGAATGCTTGCAAAATATAAATCTCCTTAACCTAACTTATTTGTTAACAACTAAAATCTCTCGATATAATTTATGGAAAAGAAATATTGTTTCCTCATTGAAAAAGATTAAAATTCTGGTACTTCAATAGAATCAAAACCTGCAGATTATCTTTACAGTCACAACTATAAATCCAAATTGTATCACTCCCTCTTATAGAAACTACACAAGAAGAAAAGAAAATAAAAAAAATTAGAGAAAAAAAACAATAT